AAATGGCTTGAAGGAGATGAGATGGAATAGGATCAAGCGGACAAGTAGTAGGATGATTGGAAAGGATGAGTTTAGAGACTTCTGCCTCAGAGAGTGGAGAGAAGGATGAAAACGAGTGTATGCTTGCTGGTAAGATGTGTTTGACAGTTTGTGGTGTGGCAAATTGTGCACTGAGTTTAATTAATTTAATATTATTATTTATGTATGAGTTATATATTTAAAAAATATTTGTGAATAATATAAGTTTATAATTAATTCTGAATTAATATATTTAAGTTTGCACTTTTGATCTGTGTACTGCAATACAATCAAATGTTTGAACACAAATGGTACTCCCTACTCATAGGTACTCATAGGACTTGGACACAGATTATTCATATGAATATCTCTGAGTGATGTATTCATAAAATGCTAATTTCTTTTCTCCATCTGTTTTTAGAGAGAGATGGTTTATTCATCCCGGGACTCCTCACCTACCTGTCGTCTCAACACTCTCCCTTCCTCCTCTGCCTCGCCCTCCTCTGGTTCTCCTTCCCGATCCCGTCTCTCCTACAGTGGAGGTCGGCCCCCCTCTTTTGCTGGTCCGGGTCACCCTCACCCACAGGGTCTCCAGCATCCGTCCCACTCCCACCACCCTTCGCCCTCTCACGGACAGACTCAAGGCCTAACCACCTCCTCCTCAGCCATCCTAGAGCGGCGTGATGTCAAACCCGATGAGGAGATGTCTGGTAAAAGCACGGTCCTCCTGAAGAACGAAGGTCTTTATGCTGATCCGTACAGCTTGATGCACGAGGGTCGGCTTAGTATCGCTTCTACTCAGTCCCTGGCCACCATCGCCGACCCCTTTGGCTTCCCAGTGTCAGGAGGTCTGTACAGCAGAGGTTCGGTGCGTTCTCTCAGTACATACTCAGCTGCAGCACTGCAAAACGACCTGGAGGACAGTCTGTATAAGCCTGGAGGTTCTCTATACTCCGATACCTACAGCAGCTCCACGCTCGGCATGGGCTTTCGTCTGCCGCCCTCCTCCCCGCAGAAAATTCCCGACGTACAGCTGCGTGACAGGGAATCGTTCACTGGGTCTCCCAGCCGAGGGTCGCCTGTGAGAACCACCTTCCGCAAAGACTCTACTTCCTCTTCCGTGTTTGTGGAGAGTCCGAAGTCCAGACCCAGCTCCAGTTCTGAACCCCTAGGAGATGGGAGTAAGGGACCTGGATTTGGGTCGTCATTGTCTGGGCCCGAGACGGACACACGGTGAGCACTAGCAAAATGTACATGTATGTGAGGTTATTAATGCACTTTTTCAGTGTCATTGACAAGATCTGTACGTCAGTCTACACACTCTGAACACAAATTAATAAACATCATTTATTATTATGCAAATGCCAGAAAGAAATCTTTATTAAGCACAATTATAGCCACAGCCATATCACCCTGCAGCCCAAGTCTGGTTGCCCACTGAAGCTAAGTAGGGTTCAGCCTGGTCAGTACCTGCATGGGAGACCTCCTGGGAAAACTAGGTTGCTGTTGGAAGAGGTGTTAGTGAGGCCAGCAGTGGGTGCTCACCCTGTGGTCTGTGTGGGTCCTAACGCCCAGTATAGTGATGGGGACACTATACTGCCAAAGAGCACCGTCTTTCGGATGAGACATTAAACCAAGGTCCTGACTCTCTGTGGTCATTAAAAATCCCATGGCACTTCTCGTAAAGGGTAGGGGTGTAACCCCGGTGTCCTGGCCAAATTCCCTCCACTGGCCCTTGTCTCTCATGGCCTCCTAATAATCCCTATCCACTTGATTGGCTCTATGACTCTCTCTCCTCTCCACCTGTGGCTGGTGTGTGGTGAGCGCACTGGCGCCGGTGTCCTGTGGCTGCCGTCGCATCATCCAGGTTGATGCTACACCACTGGTGGTGGTTGATCTGCACCCGGGCACTGGCACTTTATTTTTGAGAGGTCTTAAGTGATGCCCCTAGACCAGAGGTGTCAAATCCTGCTCTTGGAGGGCCACTGTCCTGCAGAGTTTAGCTCCAAACCCAGTTAAACACACCTGAACTAAAGTAATCAAGGTCTTAAAGATTACTAGAATCTTCCAGGTGGGACGAGTTGGAGCTAATGTCTTCAGGACATTGGCTCTCCAGGACCAGGATTGAACACCCCTGCCTTAGACAATCCACGGATAGGGGAAATGTTGCTGTCTTCGAACAGATATAACTGCCAATAATGGAACATCTACTACTGTAACTAGACTACAGGAAGTAGTATTTAGGAGAAAATTGAAGTGAAAACCCATGTAAAATAAATGATAAAAAGTGTACACTTATACATTTTCTGTCTGCCTCGTTAGCAGGGATCGTATGGAGGCAATGGAGAAGCAGATAGCCAGTCTGACTGGACTGGTTCAGAGCGTCCTAACCCGAGCACCAGACAGCGACAGCACGTAAGACATGACAACTTCCACAGAGCCATCCATCTATGATCCATTTTCATGGAACCAGTGCAAGTCAGATGCTAACACAGTCTATGCCACCTCTCATGTGTATGGAAAACATCTGTACCTAAGACTGCGTACCATGTAAAATGTCCTTAACACTAAAATACCAGTTTGCACAATACATTCAACCATTTCACACATGCTCACTGTTGTTATCATGGTACCATTTTGCTATCATGTGGTAATATCTTGTGTTCTGTTTTTTGGTATACAGCCATTGGCTTTTCTTATGTTTCATAAGCTTGCAAAAAAGTTGCTGACTGTAAAGTGCTTGTATTGAAATTGTGTGTGCTGGTGGTCTTCTTTGTCCTGCGATGGCCATGGGTCTCTTTGTACCCGATGCTTTGATGTTGCTGGACATTAATTGTCATTCATATCCGATGTGACAAGTCATTCACATTAACTATTTTATGAAAGGAAATGAACAATATTTAGATTCTAACCTCAAAAAGAGAATGTTGAGTAAAGAGCATTGAGTAGAGATTATAAGATTATTGTATAAAGAGTAAGTAAGGTGTTTAATTCAGATTAGGCAGAGTTAGGATAGAAATGCCTGATGCAAATCCTGTTGTTGTTGTTGTTTTTTTAAAGATAATCACAGTGCAAATCTGTGCACTTTGGTGTTCAGAAGAATTTCGTTTAAAATCTTATTGTACTGAAATTTGTGCTCATAATTGACACTGGTTTGAATGGGCCTTAAAGATATTTTTAAGAGGGAGATGACCTGTGAGCAAGTGACCTGTGGTTAAGAATAGTGTTTAAATTGTTTTGGAATATATATATATATATATATATATAGAATAGTAGCTATAATAGGATAATAGGGTTTTATATCTCAGTTCTAATACACTACCGTTCAAAATTTTGAGCTTGGTAAAATTGTTTAATGTGTTAGAACTTTCTTATGCTCTTCAAGAGTGCATTTATTTGATCCAAAAATACAGTTAAAACTGAAATATTAATTACAATTTATTGTCATTAAATTTTCTATTTTAATATATGTTAAAATGTAACTTATTCCTGTGATGGCAAAGCTGATTTTTCAGCAGTCATTACTCCAGTCATCAATGTCAAATCATTATAATATGCTGATTTGCTGCTCAAGAAACAATTCTTATTACTATTAATGTTGAAAACAGTTACGCTGCTAATTTTTTGTCAGGATTCTTTGATGAATAGAAAGAAGTGAATTTGATTATAGATGTCTTTACTGTCACTTTGAAACAATTTAACATATCCTTACTGAATAAAAGTATTGATTTCTTTAAAAAAAAATCGTATTGAATCCAAGTTTTGAACAGTAGTGCGCATGGTTTAACATGATAGTTTTATAGGTTAAATAAAGCTGTGTTACTCAAAGGAATTGTAATGTGTGGAAATAGTGAAAGTCATAATAACAGTAGCATAGATAACAGTAGCTTTCAAGATAGATAGCGTAACCCTTTATTAGCCACAGAGAAGGCTAGTGTAGTCTTGCTGTAGTGCAGTGCGTATTAGTGTAGTGTCAGTGTAGTAATAGGTGCTGTAGTACAGTGGTAGTATCATGGCTGTATGATCCTCAGATGCGGCCTGCTGCGTCTCTGCATGATGGCGGGCTGCCCTCCGGACCAGGGGGCGGACTTTTCACGGCCCTTCCCTTTCTCTTCCAGCGAGAAGACCGAATCCACCAGTGACGGCTCCGCCACAGGAAGTGAGTCCAGCTACTTCTTAATGGTTGTCCAGAGCAGTCGTGAGGCAGGCTGTAAAACTAATGTGTGATATGTCTAATATCATGCCCTTAGTAGATCAGGCTGGCCCAAGTTTACAAGTTCCTGATCTCAAACAGGCGTTTGACAACAACCAGACATGAGTGCACTTGAATAAATGACCCTACTTTGTTTTCACTTTGTTTTCATAAAGGGTGTCCTCAGAGAGCGTCTTCATCAGTGGTCAAGCCTTCAAAGGCTGCAGCCAGAGTTTTGATTTGCTAGATTTGTCTTTGAAGGTTCTCCACAGTTAAGAGAGGTGAATCTAAGTCGACTTGCACCTAGGGTTGTAACAATATGAGATTTTCACGGTATGATAATCGTCTCAGAAAATATCATGGTATATATTAAACAATAATTCTTATCAGTAACAATGGCTCTTAAAAGAATAAGAACAAGTTATTTGAGTGAACAAATCCTTTATTACAACAAACAATTTTAATGAAAGTATTGAAGTCTCCCTTCTGAAAAAAAGATAAATAAATTAATTTCATTAAAAAAAAACAATTAAAAAACAAAGCAATACACCTTATGTATATCTATATCACACGTTAACATTTTAATTAATGTTTTAAATTGTTTACATTTAAATTATCAAATTAAAATGTAACAACTTTTATTTTTGGAAAAGTTCTGCACAACAGAGGTAGGCTATACAAAGTTAAAACATGGACAAACATGATATTCCTTAAAGCTGCAGTCCGTAAATTTTGCCTCTTTGTCGCCATCACTGTTTGAAAACCTGCAATTGCAGCTGTGTGCGGAATTATCTTCCTTGCGTGGGTTGTGCGGCGGCACGGCTCCAGTGCAGATGAATCTAATGTTTTGAGGTGTATGTGTGTGTGGCAGTCAGTCACCGCACCGGTGTGGATATTGTACTTTGCACTCACAGATTCTAGCCTACGTCTTGCATTTTCACCGGATATTGTCATCTGAACAAGTAAGTAACAAGTCTGCCACGTTTGTTCTGACCAACTGAGGAAAAAAGCATTACAAATCGCGCTATCATTGGTGATTTAATCTAAATTATCTCATATCACATCAAACCGTGCAAATTATTATTATTGTTATACTTTATTCTCAAATTGTTAATGTTAACAACATCAGCATTGCGTGACTATGAGTATAGTGTGTATTAGCGTGTAGATTTCAATTTCTGTACAGTCTAATCTCTAATTGTCATACCACTTGAATTTCATATTAAGAAGTTCTTTTAACCCAAAAAGCAAATTATGCTCCCTTCGAACTGGTTGTCTTTAAAATACAAATCTTGTGTAATCCCAGACTATCTGTAATCAGAAGCACATTTAAAACTGGAATATAATTTAATTTCATTCACATGTGTTTCATAAACACATAATCCTTTCTGGATTACAATCCGCCATCAAAATTATACATTTAATTATTCCAGCTGCTGTGAGAAAAGGCTATAAA